CACCCCCCTTTGGGGACCCCCATTTCTCCTCCGCTCCCGGAAGCGCAGCAGGAACCCTCCCCCTCCGCAGGAGCCTTTAAATCCCCACTATTTACACTTTTCGTCCCCAAAACTTTCACCCTCCCACCCCGTTTCCTGCCAGAGCCTCAGCAAATTGCAGCTTTTCAGCTCAATTTTGACTTTTGGGATGCTCACGGGGCTTTTTTGGTTTGTTTTTTTTTTTTTTTGGTTTGTTCTGTTTTGTTTTGTTTTGTTTTTTGTTTTTGTTTTTTGTTTTTTTCCCCACTGGAAAGATAGAGGAAAAGCTTTGTCCCACCTGAAAATGCATATTTTTAGGGGCTGAGTTTTGTCCCATCTGCAAATGCACATTTTTGGGGGCTGAGCTTTGCCCTGTTGGAAAAATGCATATTTTTAGGGGGCTGAGTTTTGCCCCACCTGAAAATGCATATTTTTAGGGGCTGAGTTTTGTCCCATCTGCAAATGCACATTTTTGGGGGCTGAGCTTTGCCCTGTTGGAAAAATGCATATTTTTAGGGGGCTGAGTTTTGCCCCACCTGAAAATGCACATTTTTGGGGCTGAGCTTTGCCCCATTGGAAAAATGCATATTTTTGGGTGCTGAGTTTTGCCCCACCTGAAAATGCACATTTTGGGGGCTGAGTTTTGCCCCATCTGGAAAATGCATATTTTGGGGGGCTGAGTTTTGCCCCACCTGAAAATGCATATTTTTGGGGCTGAGTTTTGCCCCAACTGGAAAATGCATATTTCTGGGGGGCTGAGTTTTGCCCCACCTGAAAATGCATATTTTTAGGGATGAGTTTTGCCCCACCTGAAAAATGCACATTTTTGGGGCTGAGCTTTGCCCCACCTGAAAATGCATATTTTTGGGGGGCTGAGTTTTGCCCCACCTGAAAATGCACATTTTTGGGGGCTGAGCTTTGCCCCACCCGAAAAATGCACATTTTTGGGGGGCTGAGCTTTGCCCCACCTGAAAATGCACATTTTTAGGGGCTGAATTTTGCCCCACCTGAAAATGCACATTTTTGGGGGCTGAGTTTTGCCCCACCTGAAAAATCCATATTTTTAAGGGCTGATTTTTGCCCCATCTGGAAAATGCTTTTTTTTGGGGATTTGAGTTTTGCCCCACCTGAAAATGCACATTTTTGGGGGGCTGAGCTTTGCCCCACCTGAAAATGCATATTTGGGGGGGGGGCTGATTTTTGCCCCATCTGGAAAATGCTTTTTTTTGGGGATTTGAGTTTTGCCCCACCTGAAAATGCATATTTTGGGGGGGGGCTGATTTTTGCCCCACCTGAAAAGCGCGTATTTTTGGGGGCTTAGTTTTTCCCCACCCGAAAAATCCACCTTTTGAAGGGCTGATTTTTGCCCCATCTGGACAATGTTTTTTTTTGGATCTGAGCTTTGTCCCATCTGGAAAACGCATATTTTTGGGGGGGCTGAGCTTTGTCCCACCTGAAAATGCACATTTTTGGGGGCTGAGCTTTGCCCCGTTGGAAAAAATGCATATTTTTGGGTGCTGAGTTTTGCCCCACCTGAAAATGCACATTTTGGGGGCTGAGTTTTGCCCCATCTGGAAAATGCATATTTTGGGGGGCTGAGTTTTGCCCCACCTGAAAATGCATATTTTTGGGGCTGAGTTTTGCCCCAACTGGAAAATGCATATTTCTGGGGGGCTGAGTTTTGCCCCACCTGAAAATGCATATTTTTAGGGATGAGTTTTGCCCCACCTGAAAAATGCACATTTTTGGGGCTGAGCTTTGCCCCACCTGAAAATGCATATTTTTGGGGGGCTGAGTTTTGCCCCACCTGAAAATGCACATTTTTGGGGGCTGAGCTTTGCCCCACCCGAAAAATGCACATTTTTGGGGGGCTGAGCTTTGCCCCACCTGAAAATGCACATTTTTAGGGGCTGAATTTTGCCCCACCTGAAAATGCACATTTTTGGGGGCTGAGTTTTGCCCCACCTGAAAAATCCATATTTTTAAGGGCTGATTTTTGCCCCATCTGGAAAATGCTTTTTTTTGGGGATTTGAGTTTTGCCCCACCTGAAAATGCATATTTTGGGGGGGGGCTGATTTTTGCCCCACCTGAAAAGCGCGTATTTTTGGGGGCTTAGTTTTTCCCCACCCGAAAAATCCACCTTTTGAAGGGCTGATTTTTGCCCCATCTGGAAAATGCTTTTTTTTGGATCTGAGCTTTGTCCCATCTGGAAAACGCATATTTTTGGGGGGGCTGAGCTTTGTCCCACCTGAAAATGCACATTTTTGGGGGCTGAGCTTTGCCCCGTTGGAAAAAATGCATATTTTTGGGTGCTGAGTTTTGCCCCACCTGGAAATACATATCTTTGGGGCTGAGTTTTTAGGGAAATGGGGTTTTTTGGGGGGTAGGGAGCCGGTGTTTCGCTCACCCTGTACTGGCCAGCGGCCTCGTCGGCGGGCACGGCGGGGTGCGGGTGCCGCTCGGCGCAGGCCGCGCAGAGGAGGGTCCCATCCCGGCCGCAAAAATAGGCGAGGGGTCTGCGGTGCCGACGGCAAATCTCCTTCTCTTCCTCCTCCTCCTCTTCCTCGGTGGCCAACTCCCGGACGGCGGCCACCAGGTTGGCCAGTTGGCGGTTGGGCTGGAAGCCGTTTTGGGAGAAGGGCAGGCGGCACTGGGGGCAGGAACCGGAGCAACCCTCGAGGCAGCGGCGGCAAAAATTGTGGCCGCAGCTGAGGAGGATGACGGGGTCGCGGAAGAAATCCAAGCAGACGGCGCAGGTGGCCTCCTCCTGCAGGTTCTCCACCGCGTTACCCGCTGCCATGGTCTTGGTTTGGTGTTTTTTTTTTACCCTGGTTTCGGAGAAACGCCCCCAAAAGGGGCCGGGCGATGGTTTTCCTGGAAGTGGCGACGGGGTGGAGGAAGGAGTCCAACGTTGGCTGGTTCTGGATGAACCTCGGGGGTGGGATGAAAAGCAGAGTTTATCCCACATCCCCAGCCCTAAAACAATCCCCCCCCCCCGAGGACGAGGCAGGAAAGGATTTTCCAGGGAGTGATTTTTTTTTTGGGGAAAGGGGATTTATTCGCAAGGTGTTTGGTTTTCTGTTCACGCCGCCCAAAAAAATCCAGCGGCGACCGGAGAGCAGCTGGAAAAAGCTGGGATTAACTCAGGGACACGAGGAATGAGCCCAGTCCTCGCGGATATTAAGCCCCGTCGGCAGCAATCAGCCTGATGAGGGGTTTAATGAGAAATAAAAACCCATCTCTGCAGCTCGGCACCCAAATCAAACAGGAAAAATAAACAGCAGAGGGGAAAAAAAAGTAAGAACGAGGAGGATCTGTGGCCGGACGTGGTTTTAGAGAAGCTTTTAGCTCTTTTAGCTGAGGCTGCCAAACTCCCAGCCCAGAAGGGAATAAGTTTAACACAGCTGTATAATAAATTAATTTGGGGAAACAAACCCAACGAGGGCCCTTGAGGTGGAAGTTTCACTTCCAAAGGATACAGCCCACATAAAAAAAAAAAAAAAAATTAGGAAAAAATAAAAAAGACTCATCAGGAATTATTCTATTTATGAATAAGGCTGATAAAACAGTAAAATAAGACAGATATTCCCCAACGGAGCTGGAAAAAGCACAGGTGGCTGGGTCCCAAATTAATCAGCTTTGGCTTTTCCCCAGGAAAACCACAGCCCCTTCCTCGGGGGAAAGCAGAGGCGCCGCCAAACCCCCAACCCCGCCTTGTAACGAGGGCAAAAATGGGCAAAAGCGGTGTAAAAACCCACTGGGACTTTGCTACCCCCGCAAAAACCCCGTTAATAGACCCAGATTCGCCCCTTTGGGAGCGGGGGGGGCTCACCTTGGCCGCGGCGGAGCGGATCGGAAAGCTCTGTTCTCATTGGTTGATGGCGCGCAACCAATAGGAAGCCTCCTCCTCTCCCGGCGACCAATAGGAGGCGGCGTTTGCGATCCCCTCTCCCAGTAGTGGAGCCGGCGTCGGGAGGGGGGGAGATGGGGCAACGCGCGGTGCGACGAGAAACAGGAGGAACCGACCCAAAAATAAACCCGAAAGTTTAAATCCTGGGGGCGGCTCCCTGGGCAGAAAAAAAAAGAGCAAAAAACAATCCCCAAAACTCTTTTTTTTTTTAATCTCTCTCTCTTTTTCTTTATATATTCTTGATGCACAGTCGTTTCGGAAATCCTGCTTTGGCCGGGGGAGTTGGACCAGATGATCTCTGGAAGTCCCTTCCAAACTCTGACAATTCATGATCCGTGAAATGCGAAATAAAGGGCCTTGTGATTAGCAGTGAATTTGCTAAAGTAGTCAATAATTTGCTTTTCTGTTGTGAGCTGTTGAGTGGCTGTTGAGCGCTCTAAGGTTACCGTGTGATCGTCAGACAACGGAGTAACTCGTCTTGCTTATCGTAAGAAAAACGTAAAAAACAAGATAAAAGGAGCTCAGACAACAAGACTGGGGAAAACCAGCTTGAAGGAAGGCTGGCTAGCAAAGTCAGCAAGAAAAGGGAATAAACCAACCCAAATTCATCTAGGGGACGACTGGTGAAGAGGAAGATACGAGCACCAGATGAAGTAAACGGCCACCAGAGTGACCTGAAGACGGTCAATAAATGGCAGCAAAGGCCGTGGAGAAACTCACCTCCTGAATTAGTTCTAAAATTAGGAATTAGTTCTAAAAAAGGCGGGCTTGGGTTAATGATGCAAAACTTTTGTAAATGTATGCCTGTTGGAATCGTGGCTGAGCGGGAGCACCTCGATTGTCACATTGGCTATTGAGTCCAGCGTCTTTGTTTCAAATGCTTGGAAGAGGGTTTTAATTACCAGCAGACAAGCTTCAGGCTTAATTAATTCGGTGTTCTTTCAGGCACTTTTGGCCTATTTCTAAGAGGGATCTCTGGCTGCAAGAGGCTTCAGTGGCAGCGAGAGAAACCAAATTAAAACCAGAAGAGGTTCCAGTGTCGAAGCCAAGGTGTAGGAGCTCCGTGGAGTTTCCACCCAGTGCCGGCACAAAATCATCCCATTTTGGGATTCTTTGGGTGGGGGCTGCAGCTGCTGCTGCTGCTCCTTCAACACCCTCCTTTTCCTCCCCCAAATAACTCTGAATTTTCCCACAATAATTAAACCACCCCCAAATACCTCTGGATTCTCCCCAAATAACTCCCTTTTCCTCCTCAAACGCCTTTGAATTCTCCCAAAATATACCTCTGGATTGCCCCAAATGCTTCCAACTCCCTCCCAACTATCCCCAAATACCTCTGAATTGTCCCAAATCTCTCTGAGTTCTCCCCAAATAACAGAAATTTTTCCCCAAATACCTGTGAATTCTTCCCCCAGGCCCCTCAATTCTTCCCAAAATACCTCTCAGTTCCTCCCCAAATACCTCTGATTTTCCCCAAAAGAACCAAATCCTCCCCCAAATACCTCTGAGTTCCTCCCAAATCCTCCTGAATTTTCCCAAAATAACAGAATTCTCTCAAATCAATGGATTCTCCCAAAACACTGGAGGGGGCTGTCTCTGCGGGGATCTTTAACCCTTTCCACACTCAGGGAAGAACAGGGGGGAGGGAAGAACCGAGTGCCAAATACCTGCTTGGGGTGCTCCAAATACCCTAAAAACGGGGGGAAAAGGGAGAAAAAGGGGGTCCAGGACCCCCTGGGCAGCACTTTGGAGGGTTTTTTCCCTTGAAAGCAGGAATCGACTCACTTGAAGTTTCTCCCACCAAAGCAAAGCCATATCTTTGCTTTTCCACCAAGAAATTGAAATATTTACACTTTCCATCATTTTTTGGGGGGCAGAAGGGAGAGACCTCGTAGGTTCTAGGGCGCGGATGACTTTAAATACATTTTATCTCCCCCAGGTTGTCTCATTTCCAGGCTTTTCTCTCTTTGCCTTGTTCCCACGGGAGGAGCCGCAGCCAGATTTGGGGGGTTATAAAAGAAACAATTTTGTACTTATGGTGCAATAATGCACGTTTTTTTGCACTGCCTTTTTTTTTTTTTTTTTTCTTCCCCTCCCTCCTGGACGTTGAGAGATAAAATGGCCCTGAAATGATGGGGGGAAAAGGTGCAATCGGAGGGAGCACTTTGGAGGGTTTTTTCCCTTGAAAGCAGGAATGAACTCACTTGAAGTTTCTCCCACCAGGCGCCGTATCTTTGCTTTCCCACCAAGAAATTAAAATATTTACACTTTCCACCATTTTGGGGGGGAATGGGAGGGAGATACCTGGTGGGTTCTAGGGCACAGATGACTTTAAATACGTTTTTTTCTCCTCGAGGTTGTCTCATTTCCAGGCTTTTCTCTCTCATCCCTCACCGCTCCCATCAGCTCCGCTTTGCCTTGCTCCCACGGAAGGAGCTGCCGTCATATTTTGGGGGGGTAAAAATTAAGAAATTTTGTACTTGTGGTGCAATAATGCACATTTTTTTTCACCACTTTTTTTCTCCCCTCCACCCCGGAGGTTGAGAGATAAAATGGCCCAGAAATGGGGAAAAAAAAGGTGCAATCAGAGGGAGCAGGAGGCATCTGATGTGTCGTGGCCCCGTCTGCGGGTGGGAGATTGGAGTCTCCTCCCTCCTCGGCTGATAAAAGCTGGCGGAGGGAGAGACAGGACCGAGCTTTTGCTGAGCCTGTGCCAGAGAAGAGGGGGGAAAAAAACCAAAAAGAGGAAAAAAATCCAAGATAGGAGAAAAAAAAAGTCAAAGCAGAGAAGCCGGTGGAGGAAAAGCAGCCAGAGGAACCCCAAAAACAGCGCCGGTGCCACCAAGGAAAACCCCAAAAGGTTCGAAAAAAGGGAAAATCCCAACGCTTTCGTGTGGGTTATGTCACCCTGCTGCCTTTTTTGCGGGGGAAAAAGGGGATTCTGAGCTCTCTCCCCATCCCATCCGCGAGAGAAGGAAAGTGGATTTCCCTTTGCTTTGCCCTCGGGATCTTTATTTCAGATTTAAAGCTGGTTTTGCAGTGGTTGATTGAGGTATTTGCTTCTTTTCTACCCGTTCGGATCCAGCTGGGGAAATCTGGGTGAGAAACGGCACATTCCCTGCTTATATCTTAATTTAAAGGTGATTTTTTTCCCACTTTACCCCCCTTTTCCCACTTTTACTCCCCCACCTGCTGCTTTAATTCCCTTCTCTGCGCTTTTGCCGGGGAAAGCAGCAACCTCTTTACTTTTGAGCATCGCAGCGTGGTTTATTCAACCATTTTTGGGCTTTATTACTAATTTACAGTGCCTTTTTACTGTCAGCAACTGCCTTATTGCACTCAAAGCCCTACGCTGGGTTTTGGAGATCAGATTCAAGGCCCTTCAATAACGGCCCTTATCTCCCCCACGCACATTTTCCCCGGGGCCAGTGGCAAATTTCTCCACCTCTCCCAGGGTTTCTCTGGACAGGAGAGAGTTGGACTCGGCTTATCTCAATTTTAAGGATTTTTCTCACTCAAATAAACCTTGTCAGATCCGAATGGCGGAGGCAGGGATGGATTTAAAACGGATTCGTCCTCGAGCCACCACGAGGGATGGAAATTTTGGGGTATAATCATTTCTATGAGGTCCCTCCCAACATGCTCCTCGTGTTCCCTTCATAGTTATCAGGGAATTAACACATCTAATCCACCTCCGTGGGTCTTTCCATAATGCACCGAGCTCCTTTGCAACCACTGGATAAAAACAAAAAGGCATTTTCTTTCACATATTTTGATTAAATGTTGTGGTTCAACCCATATTTGACACAAAAAGGGGTGAAAAGCTGAGATGTGCCTGTTTGTAGGACAGTAATTTGATTTTATTATTCTTTCTTTCCCCTTTCTGCACTTCAAGCTGGGAGGGGAGGACGTTGTGGGCACGATGACTTTTGTCCTCAAACCACGGCCACGCACGTGGGATCTCACCCTGGACTATCACACGGCAAAACAGTTTGAAGGTACCCAAGGGTGGGGGGAGAGGAGCAAAGCACCAATTCCTGGTGGTTTCTGGGCTCCCTCAAGGGAGGTGTCTGTTGGGGTTGGAGACTCTCCAGCTCCACCTTCTATTTCCCTGGATCCTCCACCTCCCAACCTCCATCTTTTCTCTCTTCCATCTCCAACCTCACCTGGAGATCCTTCATCTCCAACCCCCATCTCTTGACTCCTCCATTCCAACCCCATTTCTTGGCTCTTACATCTCCAACCTCACCTGGAGATCCTCCATCCCAACCCCCATCTCTCAGCTCCCCCATCTCTTGGCTCCTTCATCTCTTGGCTCCTCCATCTTCAATCTACATCTTGTGACTCCTCCATCTCCAACCTGACCTGGAGATCCTCCATCTCCAACCCCCATGTCTTGGCTCCTCCATCTCCAAACTCTATCTCTTGGCTCCTCCATCTCTGACCTCACTACTTCTTTTCCCCTTGAGGAGTCACCAGTGAAGGGGATTTTGGGGACATGTGTCCTCTTACGCTTCAGTTTGGTGTCTGATTCCTTCTCTCTCTCTCTCCAGTGGACGTGACCCTGGATCCAGCCACAGCAGGTCCTGAGGTGATCCTCTCCAATAACCTCAAAGAGGCCAGCTGGGGTAGACCCGGCCACCGGTGGCCTGAGGGTCCAGGCCAGTTTGACACAGATCCGTGCATGTTGGGCAGGGAGGGCTTCACCTCAGGCCGGCACTACTGGGAGGTGGAGGCCACCGGGCGTTTCTGGGCCGTTGGGGTGGCCCGTGAGTCGGTTCAGAGAAAAGGCCGCATCCTCTTCAAGCCCAACACCGAGATCTGGGGCCTGCAGAAATATGACGATCTCTGTGTGGCCCTCACGGCTCCTTCCAACACCTCCGTCCCGCTCCTCAATGGGGAGATTGGGGTCTACCTGGACTACGAGGTGGGACAGGTCTCCTTCTATGCCGTGGGCACCCGCCAACGCATCTTCACCTTCCCCGTGGCCTCCTTCAGTGGAGAGAAGGTCTTCCCCTACTTCTGTGTCCTCCTCTCCACCATCAAACTGTCCTCCAAGGGGTGATGTGTCCCCCACTGAAGCTCCCCAATGGTTGGAAACACTCCTTGATCTTCCTCAATTATTCTCCTTGGTGTTCCTCAACTATTCTTCTCCTTGCCCTTACTCAACTCTTTTCCAGGTCTTGGAGTCATTTCCACCTCATTGTCCTACCTCCACCTTAGATGTCTCTATTTTGGGTTATATCCAGGGGATTTGGGGTCCGAGCTTGGCACGCTCATCTCATCTGAAAGCTGGTGTCGTTAAATCCATCCAAACCTCATTAACTGAGCCGGTTTTGAGCTGAAAACTTGGGTTTTCCTCCCAAACTCAGCCCACTGTGAAGGTTTCCTTTACTGAATTCGATGCTGGGCTTCCACCTCAAATTAAAAATCTTAATTTTTGCAGGTTTTTTGTTAGTACTCGCTTTATAACTGATTTTGTCATCATGAGGACGTGCTCGGTCTCGCTATCCCTTCCCCATTTTCTCCTGCTGTTCCCCACGCTCCGAATCCCAATAATTAAGGTGCGATTGATTATAAATGTGATCAGAATATAGTAAATCTTTTTTTAAATTTTTTTTTTTTGCTCTAAGAAGGAGGTGTCTGCTTTTGACCCATCACCAAGCTGCCCCAGCACCACATAGAACCCCAGGACCCCCCAGAGCTACCCCACATGGGAGCCCAACACCTGCTCTGGCCCCTCAAAAGCCCCTTAGTCCCCTGGGACCCCCCAAGAACCCCTCAGGACTGACTCATATGAGACACCAAAGGCTGTTCCAGCCCTCCAACACCTTCTTTATCCCCTGGGATCTCCAGGAGACACAGAGGGCTGCCACAGACCCCCCCCCCCACAGACCTAAGCTTCACCCCCCAGACCTCCTCCTTGGCCTCATCACTGTGGGTCTCCTCATGCTCTGGCATTTAACTACAAATAACTAATTACTGGGTGTGAGTTATCACCAGAAATTCCTCATCACTCATATGGCAAAGTTGGGTTGGGAAACACAAATACATTAAAATTCTGGTTCTTATTCAGCAATTTTTGGTGATAGGCTTCTTTTTTTTCCTGAGTT